AACTGACATCTGCAATTCAAGGAGCATATAGAGGCTCTGCTAAGAGGACCCTAACACAAGGCATAGGACAACCTTGGTGGAATAAAGACTGCAAGAATGCATTACACAATTACCGCTCAGGCCTCTGCTCAAAGACAGACTTCCGCAGGATAACCAGATGGTCTCAACGACAATTTTGGCGAGATAAGCTCTCTACAGTAACACAAATGAAGGACGTCTTCGATATGAGTAAATGGCATAAGTCCACAGGCACCTTCCGAAGCCCTCCACTGAAGGATCCACTGAGACCTAGCAGCCTCCCAGCAGTTACTATACACGAGAAACGAGACGTACTAGTCCGAAATCTTCTTCAAAACTCGGCTGAGGCAGGAGACATACCTCTGGACTCCCCAGCAGTCCCTATCACTAGCCTCTACTTTCCAGACATATCAATGTCACAGGTGGAGGAGTCAATACTTCAGGCAGGAAACACAGCTCCTGGCGCAGACGAAATCCCAACCTGCATACTCAAAGTAGCAAGGCCTTTAATTAAGGATAAGGTACAAATGCTATACCAAGGGTGTCTAAAGATTGGATATCACCCGAAATGCTTCCGACATGCAATTTTAGCAATTATCCAGAAACCAAAAAAGACTGATTGGTCCTCGCCCAGATCATACAGACCGATCGCTCTCCTATCAGTTCTTGGCAAAGGACTCGAGCGCCTAGTGGCACGGAATATGGCATGGATCTCTATACACTACAAAGTATTAGCGAGACAACAGTTTGGAGCTCTCCCACTAAGATCTGCAAACGATCTGACCACATGCCTAACACATGACGTTGAACAAGCGCTAAATCAAGGCATGACTGCCTCACTCCTTACCCTAGATGTCAAGGGCGCATTTGACGCCGTGCTTCCTGGCAGACTGATCCGCAGATTGCGTGAGCAGGGCTGGCCTACTAATCTCGTCCTCTGGATCGCCTCCTTTGCTACTGGGCGATCAGTTCAGATCCGCCTTGATGGAGAGATTGGCCCCTCAACAGACATTGCCTGCGGCCTTCCACAAGGATCCCCAGTATCTGGCATTTTATTCATGCTCTACATAGCGCCTCTATTCCGTCTAGGAAACCCAAGGAACAAATTTGGCTACGCCGACGACGCAGCTAACCTGGCGATCTCGACATCCCTTGCTACTAACTGCGAAGCCTTATCAGACTCACTTCAAGAAGCTCTTAACTGGGGTGCTGCAGAGGGCATTACTTTCGCACCAGATAAATACGAGCTTCTTCACTTCTCTCGACGAAAAGCAGACCAGGACCCAACCTGCACACCTTCAGTAAAAGCTGGATCTATTACAGTCTCAGAAAATACTAAACGCCTATATCTACGTTGGCTAGGAATCCTCTATGACAAAAAGCTCACATTTAAATGGCATGTCGGTGAAACAGCATCTAAAGCCCTCACTGTGGCTAATGCCCTTCGCTCTCTAGGGAATACTGCCCGAGGAGTTAAACCTTATTTACTACAGCAAGCTGTATTAGCCTGTGTACTCCACAAAGCATACTATGGTGCTGAAACCTGGTGGCCAGGACGTACTCGCCCTGGGCCTACCCAGACTTCAAACCGAGTTGGCGAACATCTTAAGAAACTAACTAAAGTAGTACTAACAGCGCAAGAGCAGTCCTTCCAGTTTTCCGCACAACCCCAATATCTGTCCTTTACCGGGAGTCTGGATTCTCTCCACCAGAAATTGAACTAGATCGAATAGCCCTCCTCGCAACTGTCCGCCTACGGCGTCTGGATCCTTACCACCCACTTCGAAGACGCGCGGAACAGGTTGCCAGTAATAGCCGACAAACCAGCCGATTTGCCCGCCGCATACTGGCCCTCCCCAACTCTGAGCAGATAAACCCTCTCCAACACGCTCCCTGGCACCCTCGCGAGACGCGCGAGAATGCTCAAGCTCGAATAGGAGCTCCCATGGGACGCAGTAAGGAACAGGCAGCGGCTGATTTTATAGCTTTTCAACGCACCATCCCTAGCTCTGATATTATAATCTTTTCAGATGGATCTAGACTAGTAGACGGACGTGCAGGAGGAGGTTACATTGGATTTCAAGCACACAATCAGTTCCTCCGCTCCTCACTCTCATATGGACATGGGAAAGAGGTCTTCGACGCAGAAGCAGAAGCTGCCCTAGCTGGTGCCCAAGCAGCAATAGCATACCCAACAGCTCAATTTGCTACTAACTTATGGATCTGCCTTGATAACTTAGAAGTTGCCACGCGTCTTCTATCTCCCTCTACCGGATCTTCTCAAGAAGCCTTTGAATCCTTCCGCACCCTTGCAGCTGGCTGGCCACTACGTGAAAGGCTTCCACACACCAAAAGTGGATCAGTCCAAATCCGATGGGTCCCTGGACACACTAAAATCCCTGAGAATGAAGCAGCAGATTCTGCTGCTAAAGAGGGAGCTGCCTCTACCCCCCCCTCTCCATGCAAGTCCTCATATGCCTCGCTAAAGAGACACGCCAAGACTCAATCTCTCTCTGCTGCCCAGACACGGTGGCAGACCATAGCACCACAAACTTACCAAGATCTAGAAATAACTACATCTCCTAAGCGCCCTGGAGAGCTTCAACTTAACCGACTTGACCTTGGCCATATCATTGCAGCCCGTACTGGACATGGAGACTTCGCAGACTACCATGAACGTTTTAATCATGATGATGCTCATCTCCTCTGTCGATGTGGAGCACGAAAAGCACCTCTACATTTCTTCTTCTGCTATATAGCTAAGAGACGAGCCCCTCGTCCTCCTGGACCTCCTTCTGAGGTCATATCCTTCCTTCTAGGCACCGCGAAAGGAGCACAAAAACTAGCTACATGGCTAGCAGAGACCCGTTTTTTTGAGGATATCTGTCCTCGCCAACCTCTCCTTAGCACCTAGCTAAGTCAGCCCTACTTTTCCCTTATATCTCTCTTTTCTCTCTTTCTTTCTCTCTTTCTTCCCTTCTTTCCTTCTTTCCTTCTTTCTTTTTAAACTCTCACTGCTTGATTACTATTATGGTAGAGTTATGGGTCATGGAGCGTAGGTGGACCATTGCAGCTGGCAAATATCTAAAACCCACTCGGAAGTGGACTCCCTGTAAGACCACGGCAGCTATGGAAATGCGCCAAAGAGTCCCTTATTTGTATATAAATCTGATAGGACCTGAAGCCCGAGGCTTACCCCTCGGCGGCCTATGTCCCAGTAGGGATTGGTGGAAAGCGTGCGAGTCACGATCCACGGCCGTTAAATACACACACACACACACACACACACACCCCCTTACTCTTGGGGGGCAGTCATCAATATCAGGAATTCTATACCATATTGATCAGGCTCGTCAGCTCGTCGGAATAGCTGTTCTACGTGACTAGTGCTAGCGACCTAGACGTAGATAAACCGACACTTGTGTTTGGCCGTTGAGATCCTCGATCAGGCTCATCACAAGGCTATCCTCTGCAGGAGCACTTGTTGCACGTATTGTGGCAAGTGTAATCTTTCTCTTTGGAGCCGCGCTTAATCCAGACCTAGTTATTGGGGTCCGAGATCCTATAGTCAGCCTAGAAGTCCTCCTTTTCTCAAGAGTCGTTCCTGGGGCTTGTTGGGTTTCTCCAGTCTGTCGTGGCGCTTGTAGAGCGTCGCTGTTGTCCAAAGTAGGTTCTTTGGACTGTTTCTGGCTACCTTGAAGCCCTGCAATCAGTGCGGGAGTATTTGGAGGTAGCTGTTGCGGTTCCTGGGTGGGTGTCGAGAAATCGACCCCAGATCCAGGTCCCATGATTTCTGGATCCCCAGCGGCCCGTGGAGGCCTCTCTGGGTTTTCCATGAGGGTATTTCGATGCAAAGAAGCCTGCAAAGGCCCTTGCAAAGCTCAATAGACGTAGGAATAGGCGATCGATAATCAGTTGCGTTGAGCAGTTCATCATTAACACGCGAGTGCTTGATCAATTCCGTGAGGTAGATCCGGAAGCAGTTGGCACCTATTATTATTATTATTAATCAAGTTTATTGTCCGTACCCAGCCCTACTGGCTATGACAGACCACTAGAAGCCTTGGTGACGCCCTACAGGCCTCACCCCTATCAGAATCATACATGCAAAATTCAAAAATCACTATCTCGTCCCCATATGGCCTATATGCCAGGGACCTTCGGGCACTCGCGTAGGCTAATCCTTCCGGAGATCCCTTATACTTCCAAACCCGTGGGCACGCCTAGTCCGTACAAACCCTGACTAGTGTGCCCTTACTCCTATTCATCTTCCAATGTGACACCTAGGCCACCTTCCTCCAACGTATCCCATCCCCACACATCACCAATCTCAGCCTCTCTGGCTATCCGCTTCTTATCATGAAACAAGTTGGCTTCAGCCACAAATTGTAGCAATCCCTGTGTCGCTCTAGGTTCAGCAAATAGCCTAGCCTCAGGACTTTCCTCAGCCGCTGTAGGCAGTGGCACGCCTGCTTTCTTGAGGGCTTGATATAAAGCCCTCCGTCCTGTTCGACGTCCTCGGCACTCAAAGAGTACATGCCTAACTGTCTCGTGAGGCTCTTTACAGGCCTGACACTCAGGCGATTCTCGTCGGCCTATCCGGTGTAGATAGGTGCCGATTGGAGCATGTCCTGTCTTTATTTATTATTATTATTAATCAAGTTTATTGTCCGTACCCAGCCCTACTGGCTATGACAGACCACTAGAAGCCTTGGTGACGCCCTACAGGCCTCACCCCTATCAGAATCATACATACAAAAATTCAAAATAAATCACTATCTCGTCCCCATGTGGCCGATATGCCAGGGACCTTTGGGCACTCTCCCTAGGCTAATCCTTCTGGAGATCCCTTATAGTTCCAAACCCGTGGGCACGCCTAGTTGGTACAAACCCTGACTAGTGTGCCCTTATCCCTACCCATCCCCCCCTAGGGATATTGGGGGGATACACATTAAGCTACTATACATTTATATATGCACCCATAGTAACCGGCTGCCGCTTCTGTCCTCTCAAGCTAGATACAATAGTTCCTTATCTTTCCTATTGCTCCACTACCGCCCACTCTCCAACCACTTCTGAGCTTCCAGTTACCAATATCGGCATCGCAGCCTACTTATTGGCCGTCACAGTCTTGCCCCATAAGGGACTAACCACTAGCTAGGCTAGCCTCGGGTGTCCTGTCCCGTGGGCGGGTCGGATGGTTTTTACAGTGCCACGAAATATGTGTTGGCACCCCCCTTATCCGAACGCTACCCGAGCGCTGACCGCTTTCCTAATATGGTAATAATCTAAGTAACGGAAACCTCTGAAAAGCCCTAATACTTTGTATACCACCCATCCGCCTCTATAACCGCACGTACACGATTTGGCATGGTATTGCTTAAATTCTTCAATACTCGTGCTTCAATTGACCCCCATGCTTCTTTTGCAGCTTGTATCAATGCTAATAACGTCTGTTCGTTATCAGGAGCATTTTGTAGTTCTGGATGATCATTATGAATGATTGTTTTCATTATTGCCCAAATATTCTCGATAGGATTGAGATCCGGCGAATATGGAGGCCATTCCATAAGATCAAGCCCTAATTCACGTAACAGATTCCGTATGATATGCGCTCGGTGTACAGGCGCATTATCCTGCATAAAAATATCACCCTCACGAAGTAATCCAGGAAGCTGTTCCATATAAAGTTGCTTTATAACAGTTGCAGTAATACCTCCGCCAGCTGATGAGCCATCTGGGGTTAATGGCACTAGTGGACTCCGTTCATCAAATTTGAATCCTCCCCAAAACATCTTTTTAATGCTTTTCCCAGTACGTATCTCACGTACGTCATGCTCCATGAGTTGCTCGCTCAAGGAATGCCACGTCCATATCAATTGACCCCCTTTGCCGCGCTCAACTGTACACTCGTCGCTCCAAAGAATACGCTGCCATTCACGTGGTGTATAAGCTTCATATCTTAGAGCCCAGGCTAACCTCTTTTGCGCATTAAGAGGAAGAATCTCAGGTCTCTTACGTTGCTTCCATTTCCTCTTATGGATTTTTTGAAACATGCCCTGGATAGTGCGAATAGTAACTTTATTGTCGATCGCATTCCGGAGCTCCATATATTTAATATGAGGATACTGAATCGTCAACTCAATAAGCTTCTGCTTATCCTCGTCCGTCAACTTCTCCGGGGGCCCCGTACGAGGCATTGAGCGTTGATTTATACGCTCTTGCTCCTTCTTGATTGTATTCCGGATAGTTGATATAGGGATTTCCGGGTGCGCGCGGTGTATCCGTTTATAACCCCAGTGCGCCTCTGTATGGAGCTCACATATACGAGCTCTCATACAGGGGTCAAGCTCTCTGCGCGCTGTACGTCGCTGTGGTGGAGGCATTTATATAAAAAAATTTAGATTCATAGAGAATATATGTAAATTTGTGTGCAACGCGATGTGTACGCGTTTCTGTCGGCAGAATAAAGGGCGGTGTGGAGTTTCGGATAAGGGGGGTGCCAACACATAATTCATCCCACTGTAAAAGGGTTCCCGAGAATTGGTGCGGTTCTTAGGGCAAAAGCCCTACGGTGGCTAGATATAAAGCGCTAGCACGCGAGCCTTGGCAGCGGCACCCACTTGCAGCTGCCACGATAATTTGTGGTAATTGTTTTGGTGAGGGGTGTAGGAGTCGAACCTACGGCCTTGTCAATCAGCGAAGATGGGTACCGAATGGAGGCCCCAAGGATAGCCGTTACCACTTCAGCTATCCGCCCCCACAATAAACTTGATTAATAATAATAATAATATAAATAGTTTGAACCAAGTTCCTTCCTTCTTCCTCCTCCTCCTTCTCCTCCTCCTCTTCCATCGTCTTCAAGTTTCCGCTCAATCACTTCTTCCTCTCGAATCCCACATGGCTTACAACAAGATTATCAAGAAAAAGGCTGTCGACAAGCTTATGAAAAATGGAATGGAAGTTGTCGTCTCCGTAGCCGCCCAGACTAGCGAGTGGACACGCCCGGGCTTTGTTGCGGATGCTATTGGTCAGACGGCCGCTCTAGTACGGCGGACTAAATCCCGAATATTCCACTTAATTAAAAAATACCAAATCATCAAAACGCATACGTGCCTAATACGAGATACAGAAGAATAATTATATATGACCAAATAGCGATATTTAATTTCCACGCAACCTTAAATTTGATTTGGGTATTTCCGTATCTGGGTATCTAAACTAAAAACAAAAGCATCTTGGAATGAAGCAATCAAATGAAGCAATCAAGCTTTCCTGTTCTCAAATCTATATCCCGAACCAGTCATGATTCTTCGGAGTCTGTCCACTAGCTCCATGTCTTTAGCTTGAATAGTAACTCGATGGGCATGTACTGCGCAGAGGTTTGTCACTGATATATAATTAGTTCCGATACTCAACGTTAAGACAAAATGACTTACTTTCAAACTCCTTGACAAGAAATGCCTCAGCAGCTTCTTGAAGAGCTAAGATCGCCGATGACTGCCATCTCAGATCTGCAGTCAAAGAAATATCTTGTGCGATTTCTCGCACAAGTGTTTGAAATGGCAGTTTCGGTATTATGAGATCGGTAGATTTTTGGTATCGTCGGATTTCGCGTAGAGCTGTTGCTAAAATTGATATCAGTCAAATGAAGCAGTCAAATGAAGCAATCATAAACTTACTGCCCCATTTATAGCGAGGACACCTTCGTCTGGTAGTACCCTGAATAGGAACACGTCTCGTAGATGTTTGCTTCCTCCAGGTAGAGTCTTTGTTGCTCCTTTCTTGGCGATTTTCTAGCTGACACTTTCGTCCTAGCCATTTTATTGAAGCGATCTATTGTAGTGATCAGTAAGTCTTCATAGTGAAATAGAGTTTAGTAAACACTTACTTACTTTGACTGCTATAATCAAGGTTCAATTGAGTGTTGGTGAGAGATGAGTTATGA